AGCAGCAGCAGCACAAGAAGAGCATCAAAGAAAAAAGACCACGTTAGAAGATTCAGTGACAACAATAATAAGATGGCAGCCGATCATCATGGCTTGTATTCTCCAAAGAGTAGTAGCCCCACCGCCGGGACGCCCCGTTCGCAAAAGCACGGTCGCCGGAAAAGCTAGTGACCATGAATTGACTTGTGAATTTCTCCATATGTTAATTGGTTCTTTCTTTCTTTTTTCCTTTTTTCTTTGGGGTCAATATTTGGCTGCTCTGTACGTACAAGCACTGTTTTTTAATTGGTTGCTTGTAGGGGGTTGGGTTGAAACTTAGAAATTCAACTCTCTGTTTGATATGTTTGTAAATGTAAATTATGAGTTATATAGATAGTAGCCCATGTCATGTTAGCTCTTTATGGCATAGAGGTTTTGTAAGAAGTAATCAGTGAAAACTGCCTGGTAATTCCATGATTATGTTGTTAATTATGTCTTGATCTTCTATTTTAATGCTGAATTATTTCCCCAAAAAAAGCTAATTATGGATTAGGTTGTGGATTAAGCTATCATCATGAGTATAATTGTGCGGCGTTGCTTATAATAGTAAAAAACACAATGTTCCTAACCAATTCGAGGTCAGATACAGGGACGGATCCAGGAATTCAAAATGGCATGGGCTGGATTTACCTTACATTAAAACTCGACGGCACGAGTGAATTTAATTAATAACAAAAAATAATACACCTAGTCAGGGGGGAACATAATGAGCCGTAACCCTCAAAATGCATATAATACATAAGATAGAAACTAGTAAACAAAGGCAACAATAAATAAATATGCAATGCAAATACAAAATAAAACTATTTAAGTTGCACCCTTCGAGACTTCAAAGAGTTAAAATCACTAATTAGTGATTCATTATCAATACTATCAACAAATTCTTTTTCAATGTGAAGTATCATACAATTAGCAAGAAACTCATCCTCGATCTTGCTCCGAAGTTGATTTTTGATAAGTCTCATAGATGAAAATGCACGTTCTGTTGTTGCTGTAGAAACAGGAAGAGTTAACACCAAACGAATCAATCTATCAACCAAATGGTAGGTGTGTGCTAACCCAGTGTCAAGTAAACACTTCAGCAATTCAGGAATGGAATCAAGATTCTTGAAGGCTGAAAGACGATCCAAAAATTGGAGGAGATGATGAGGGAATGCTACTTGATGATGATGCATCATTCTTTTTCTTAAAAAAATGCAAAATATTCTTCGTTCTCTTAGGATTTCGATGATGATTTGACATTATTGAGTATAACCTATGAATAATATATAGAACATGTAATCTTATCAAAAATCAATATCTAGTTCTAGTACTGGTAAGCTAAAACAAACAGAATTAAGCTAAAACAAACAAAGTTCCAATTTAATTAAATTCCAGAAATGGAATAAAATCCCAAACACATATGATATGAGGTTA